AACGAAAATTTTAAATCTTTTATGCCTTGATTAATGCAAGCATGTCAAGGGTAGATTAAATGCATTATTGCATCCCTAATCTAATGCAATTTAAATATCTTTTAAGCATGATTATGAAGTTATAATATGTGCTTAAGTTGATATGTTCTTTTTCACATAAACTTGTTTTTCACAATTAGGCAAATAAATTGCATCAATGTGTGAATACTTGTTGTGAATGTGTAATTTTTTAAGTTCCTATTATGTTAAAGATCTAATCTTTAAATGTTTAATTGATTGGAACTTTAACCCTAAATTCCATGTTGAACTAATTTTGGAATTTTCATATTTTGTTGATTAAAATCCTTGAAGTTCAAATGCTTGTGATTATTTTGATTAATCTTCATATTGGGAGATGTAATCTTGTTATTTTACACAAGTATAAAAGTTGGGAAATTTTATCATTGGATGATTAATTTATTTTTCCAACTTCCCTTTTTGTCAAATCCATTATTAATTTACATATTGGTTAAATTAATTATGGACATAGCCTTTTCAATTTTAAGCATCAAGAAAGACCTAATAACGTTCCAAAGTAATTTTGGAAAATTAGGCTTGTGCACCGTTAAAATTGAATTTAATTAAGTTGGACTTATTTTATTTTCATTTTGCCCTAATTTAATTCTAAAATAAATTTAGATTAATTTTACATCGCACGTAAATCAGGATTAAAATCCCGAGAAAAATGCACGCAAATTGAGGCAAAACCCCAAGCGTCACCAAGGCTAGCCGGGCTGCCTAGCGGCCCGCAGTTAGGCTGCCTATGGTGCGCACAGGGGCCAAGCCATGGTGCTGATGTGCGATGTGTGGCGAGGGCTGCTGTTGCGTGGTGCCTGTGCTGGGTGCGTGGGCCTTAAGCTGTTGGCATGCTTGTGCTGCTGTTGGGCAACGAGGCAGTAAGCCCCAGCCAGCCAGCCCATTGCTGCCTGGGCCAGCAAGCAGCTAGCATGCGTAGCATGCCTAGCGTGCTACTAGTGCTAGCTAGTAGAGCATGATGCGATAGGCGTGCTTGCTAGCAGCCAGCACAACAGCAACACTAGGCTGCCTAGCAGCCATGGTGCACAACCCACTAGGATACGAGTGGGCGGTTTTGGCTTAATTTCGAGCTATGTGTTTTTGCGAAAATTTTGCCGTTTTTATAATATTTATGTAATTATTTTAACGAGGATAGACCTCGATTTTTCCGGCTCTTGCAAAATTTTTGATTTTGACAATTTGGGTTAACCGGCTTAATTAATTGGATTAATTAAGCTGGATGCGGAATTTAGTGGGAGCTTGGCTAATTACGTGAACAAATTGCACCTTAGTAATACATAATGTATTAAACGACTTTGACTAGTTTTAATTAGGCGCGTTAATTGGATTAACCACCTAAGTTAGTTACTAGTTTTGCGTGTTTACTTGTTTTATCTCGTAAAATGCATGGGGCCATTCACAAATATTGAATGGGTGAATGAAACCTAGTGAAAGATTGTTTCAAAATAGGTTATTGAAAAATGGAACCTAGTGGGACCCGACTAGGATAGAAAATACGGACTGCGTTCCGTTATGTATTTTTGTAAAATCTAAATACGGTCTGCAAACCGTTAAGTATTTTTGTACTTAAGATTAATCTTAGTCGTAGTAGTTAGTAATTTTATTTTGGCCAACATGTCTCAAGACGGCGTTTCGATGAAGACGAGCCAAGATGAAGACCCTTGAAGATTTGAAGATTTCAAGGGGTCATGCTAGTTTCCAAATGCATCTAATTTTATGCCTTATATATATATATATATATATATATATATATATATATATATATATATATATATATATATATATATATATATATATATATATATATATATATATATATATATATATATATATATATATATATATATATATATTGTTTTTATATATATTTGGAATGTTAGATGCATGTCTAGGATTTCAATAGTTGTGATGATTAGTTAAGTCCACTTAAATCAACCAACATAGAAACCCTAGGTCCCTTAAAATATTGAGCTGCGGATGAGATGGCGGGGCATATCTTGCTTGCTTCGCTCCACTCGGGCTATGATGCACTTAGAGTGCATATAGCTGCGGGAAAGGAGACACGCTCCTTAATGGAGGTGGTGAAACTACTTAGCCGAGTCACCGCCTGTGGAGTGACCGAGAGGCCCTTGAGAGCAAGGAAAAGGGATTTTAAGAAGGTCAAGGCAAGGATGCGATGCTTCTATTGTGGTGGGCAAGACCACTACAAGAGAGAGTGCAAGCTCTTCCGGGAGGAGGAAGACAGGAATGTAGCATCTGCCTCAGGTATCTTCATTAAACACTTTTGAATTAAGCTTATCATAGGTATTAGATACCAAGTATGACTCACTTTATGTTGCCTTTTTAGGGACCAAGTGAGAAGCTTATCAAGTGTTCGTGCAAGGACAAGTAGACAACGAAGATGGTTTTTCGGTCGTGCTTGCATGCACTATTTTGTCTATGACATGAAATTAAACTAATCTTAGTTTCATCATGCTTTTGAACATACTATGATATATAGTGTTAGACACCTAGTTATTTTGAATGTAAGATTTTGACAATGGTTGTTTCAAAATTGTCATGCAAATATATGTTCAATGAAAATTGCATGTTTTTACATATGATTAGGCAAATGTAGATACCGCTGACAAAACTAAGACAATTCATAGTAGACATAGTTATATCTACCTTATGTCGAATAAATCTGAATCCTTTGAGAAATTCAAAGAATTTCAGAGAGAAGTTGAGAATCAACTTGGCAAGAAAATTAAAGCACTTCGATCAGATCAAGGTGACGAATATTTGAGCCATGAATTCGACGATCATTTAAAAGAAAATGGTATTCCTTCAGAGTTGACACCTCCTGGAACTCCTCAATGGAACGGAGTATCCGAACGGAGGAATCGAACCTTGTTAGACATGGTTCGATCAATGATGGTCTTAGTGAACTTCCTATCTCTTTTTGGGGACTTGCGCTACAAACCGCGACACTAACACTGAACCGAGCCCCGTCAAAAGCTGTTGAAAAGACTCCATATGAATTATGGACTAAGAAACCTCCTAGGTTGTCTTTTTTCAAGATTTGGGGATGCGAAGCATATGTTAAACGATTAATTTCGGACAAACTTCACCCAAATCAGACAAGTGTTTCTTTGTGGGATATCCAAAAGAAACAAAAGGGTATTACTTCTACAATAAATCCAAGAACAAAGTATTTGTTGCTCGTGATGGTGTCTTTTTGGAGAAGGAACTCGACGAAGTTCGAGAGGACGAGCAACAATGTCAACTTGATAAAACTGACAATCTAAGTGCTTTGGAAGCAGATGGGAGGATTGGTCAGAATCAAACAGACAATGTAAATGCTCAACCCATTACCCTTCGTAGGTCGCAACGACAAAGATCTCAACCAAACAGATACCTTGGTATTGTCTTAACCGATGATCAAGACATCCTAGTTATAGATGATGATGAGCCAGCGACATACAAACAAGCTATGACGAGCCCCGACTCTGCTAAATGGCTAGAGCCCATGGAATACGAGATGGACTCCATGTTTGAAAATCAAGTCTAGGACTTGGTGAATTTGCCCGAGGGTTACACACCCATTGGTTGCAAATGGATCTTCAAACTGAAGACAAACAAAGATGGAAATGTATCAATATACAAAGTTAGACTGGTGGCGAAAGGTTATAGACAAATCCACGGGATTGACTATGATGAAACCTTTTCACCGGTTGCAATGCTAAAGTATTTCCGGATTATCCTAGCGATTGCTCAATATTACGATTATGAAATATGGCAGATGGATGTCAAAACCGCATTCCTAAATGGGATTTTGGAAGAAACTGTGTATATGACACAACCGGAAGGTTTTGTTGATCCAAGAAACGCGGGAAAGGTATGCTAGCTTAAGAAGTCCATTTATGGACTGAAGCAGGCAAGCAGAAGTTGGAATCTGCGATTTGATGAAGCCATCAGCAAGTTTGGTTTTATCAAGAATGCAGATGAGTCTTGTGTCTACAAGAAGGTCAGTGGGAGTGACATCGCATTCGTAGTCATATATGTCAATGACATACTGCTCATTAGAAACAACACAAAATTACTAGAGTCCGTAAAGGGCTGGTTGGGAAAGTGCTTTTCAATGAAGGACTTAGGAGAGGCACAATACATATTGGGCATCAAGATCTATAGGGATAGATCTAAGAGGATGATTGGATTGAGCCAGAGTACTTACATTGATAAAGTACTGGCACGTTTCAACATGGAGAATGCCTAAAGAGGGCATCTACCCATGTCCCATGGCGTAACTCTTAGCAAGAAACAGTGTCCACAGATACCTATTGAGCGAGAGAGAATGGATCAGATTCCATATGCTTCGCTAATTGGGTCGATCATGTATGCCATAATATGTACCAGGCCAGATGTATCATATGCTTTAAGCGCTACGAGTCGATACCAATCAAACCAGGAGAGGCGCATTGGATTGCGGCCAAGAATATCCTGAAGTACTTGAAAAGGAACAAGGATAAATTCCTGGTTTATGGTGGCCGCAAAGACCTGGTTGTTGAAGGTTACACCGACGCTAGCTTCCAGACTGACAAAGACGACTTCAAGTCACAGTCAGGGTACATATTTTGTCTAAATGGAGGAGCGTTTAGCTGGAAGAGTGCCAAGCAGAGCACCACTGCAGATTCTACAACTGAAGCCGAATACTTGGCAGCTTCAGAAGCAGCTAACACTAGTAGAAAAAATCAAATAGGCACCCCCCCTTTAGCACCGGTTCTTGAAAACCGGTGCCAAAAGAAATGGGCGGGATTGGAAAATAGGGAGTTGGCACCGGTTTGAGCCAAAACCGGTGCCAACTCATTTAATTAGCACCGGTTCAAACCGGTGCCAACTAATTAAAAAAAAAACCGGGGTCTTGCGTGCTTTTCTTTCTTTCTTTCTTTCCCCCCGTTTTTTCCATCTTCTGTTTTCACTCTAGTTTTCGCCCTCTCTTCCACGCACCATCCCGAATTTCACCTTCTCCATTGAAGGGTTTACGAGCTTTCTCACTCCATTGAAGCATCACCTCCTTCTCTCTCCATATCCCTGGCCTCCATTGAACTCGTGCTCTATATTCTCCATTGAAGCCGATTCTAAGCTTTCTCACCTCCATTGAAGCAGCTTCGAGGTAAGGTAATGTGGTCTTCTTAATCTACTGAATTCCTTCGCAATCTAGGCTTTGTCGTTGATTTGGTTTTCAATTTCGTAATTTTAGGGTTCTGGTTTTAATAAGTAGGAGAAGGAGAGAGTAGGTCCTACCCGCCGCCACTCACCCTTCGCCGGCCACCGTCCGTTCCTCTCAGCCGTCCTTCGTGCATCGGCCACCGGCCACCAGGTAATGGTTTTTCCTTTTTTTTCGTTTTAGAAAAACATTGCTAACCCTAACCACCAGGTAATCTTTTCACCCTTGATAGTTGCATATCTTCTTTACTAGTCTCCCAATTCTTAGTTTTAATTTTGTTTTTTAGAGAGCAATGGCCAGAAGATTTTTCTTACTTGTGTACCTTCATATTTATTCAGATGTAGATATTTGCCTTGTTCTGTATTCCTGTTATGATGTTTCTGATATGGGAAGATGGGTTTCTGTTAGAGCTTTAAAATTGGTTTTATCTCCATCACTATAAAATTATGAGGTTTGAAAATTAAAGTAGAAGAAAATTAATCCTAAAATAGTTTGTGTGACTATTAATTTCGGACATGTATATATAATTTTAGTTTCATGCTCGTAGAGTTAGTGTCTCCCTAGATCTACCTTATTATTTCAGGTACATGTCTTCCTTAATCTGTGCTCAGTTCCTCATTGATAACTTAGCTAGCTAGCTACTGAGACTGAAGGCTAGGTAATTCAAATTTTACACAGATTACATGGTTTTCTAATATAGAAACTCCATCCTAGAAGAATACTCAAAATAAGCAATGCACTCTGAAGCTAATTTGATGCTCGATTTGCTCACACATCAAATTAAACTGCAACATTTCCTTTTCGATAGGCAAGCTCGTACACCTTTCTCAACTTGAGCTAGCTACTTGCTCCTTAAATTTCCAGTAGTAGTGCAGCTTAAATTGCATTGAAAAGTCAATTTATATATATGAGAATGCTTCAGATAGATCAATCATGAAATATGCATTTATCCTGAAGTTTTTCACTACTTTATCTGACATTAGACTTTGCAATAACAGCTAGCTAAGATAATGAGTGCACCAGAAGGAAATCGGTCTATGGTGATGGTGATATCAATTTCTCAGCTGCCAACGAACGTATGTAAGGTACTTACATACAACTTTGAGAACATTATAAATTAGCTAGCTAGTAATAGTTTCAGTATGAATTTTCACATAATAATGAACTGTTTTGCTGTTTTTAGTTTGTCTTAGGCTTTATAGCCTATCTGATCTGGTTGTATACAGAACAGTTAATGTATGCTAAAAAGAGTGAGTGTTTGACTTTCTTAAGGGTAAGATTTTGAGCTAAACTCGGAAAGATTTCCCCAACCACACACACATACACTGCACACACAAGCAAAGACTCGAGTATATATTAATGGACATTCCCCAAGAATACTTTCTATACATTGATATCCTAAGAATTTTTGATTTATTTCATTGTTTGGATATGGACATTGAATGGTCAGCTGAGTCAATTAAAGAATATGGAATTGATTTATATATGTTGACTATAATGAACCTTATACATCATACTTTTAAAGTTGTATGTACTTAACTCCTTACTAATTTAATCTTGTATTTCCTGGGAAATGGCTAGAACATTTGATTGACTCCTTAGATAACCTGATCATATCATGCAAAAAGCTAAGTTTCATTTTATCTTTGGCTTTAGATGAGCAATTTCTTACATTTAGGTGATGCTCTTTGTTACCTTAATTTCTCTTATCTTATCTTATATCTAATCCTGAACTTGTCTATCTAACCTTATTAACTCTTATATTATCTTTATGTCAACTTATCAGTACTTATCATACCTTATTTTAAGAGATCTTATTGAGCCTTATATAGGGTCCATGTTATCAAGACCATATTAGAAATTATTAACCCTCATCTTATATGTATGAACATATCAATCCTTATCTTATATTATCAGAATTGATTATCTTATTTGAACTTATTGGCTCGTATCTTATCAGAACTTATTAAACCTTAAATAACTGGAAAAAAAATGTGAGAAGAATAGAGCCTTAATAGGTACTTCCTAGTCGATTGATCAATAGTTTAAATTTGGAAATTTATGACCTAGTCACACATTGATCAATGTCATTAAGTGTTTTCCTTTTTAATCTTCTTATATTTTGACCTTAGGGCTACATGTATCATATCCCTTTTTATATTCTAAAAATGCACAAATTCCTATCTTTTTTTTTATAACCAAACAACCAAATAAATGAGAACACAAAGAAAAATAACTTTGGTCACATTGAACATCTTAGTGTTAGAGGTCATTGATTTGGTTTATAATTTCAATTTTACCGTATTACAATTGATTTTCATATACCTTTATATAAAATTGAAACTAACATTTGTATTTTCTTATAAGTATATGCTTCATAATAATGTTCAGTCTTTTTTTTTATGATTTTTTTTCTTTCTATTTTTTAGAAGTGAATGACTGAATTGTAAACTGATTAAATTTACTTTAATAAGTAAAAATGCAACTGATTTCCAAAATGTAATGAAGCAAACAACTTGAATCATAACAAAATTAGCAAGAAAAGTTTCAAGATTGTGTGTCCAATATCAAAATTAAAGCTTGAAACATGGACTTTACAAAGATATTTACAAAAACTATATACTCCATAGTAATCAATGCTTAGTTCTAGGTTTACAAAACATATATAACCTTATGAATAAAATACCACCTATAACATATATACCAATTATAGTATGGTTGAATAGACATGAGTTCTTAGTACTAATTATATATGCATTGAAAGAATATAATTAATTTTGGAATTGTGAATTACTCACACTACCAGAATCCATATAACATCTGTGGCAAGGTGAAAATGAAGAGTAATTTTGTAATTTTAGGGTTCTGATTAGCAACTCAATGTGTAAGCTTTCACTAGGACTTTACTACCCTAGGTACCTTAAAATAGCATGGGATAGTTGGAGCAATGTAGGTTCTTTTATCTACTTCGGGTTGGATGAAGGGTAAGGGTGTTATCTGTAGACTAAAAAGCGCTTTCTTCTGCTCTATCCAGTTCTGGAAAAAGAAACACTAACAGAAAATGTTCATTTGCCTTTTCAGGTGGTGCCTTTTAGCCTGTTTTCATTATTGCTAATATTGCTGCACTGATTGCTAGTCGAGATATGACTACTGCTACATTTTCATGTATAAAGTAATTGACTGCACTTGGCTATGTTGTGATATAATATTTCTGTTGTACTATCACTGCTGTATACTTGTTGCTGTTGTATGCTTAAGGAAGCTAGACTCTTTTCCTTTTCCCTTTTGCCTTCCTCATTTTGGTATTAGCTGAGCTTACCGTGTCCAAAAGTTTGGCCATTGTCTCGAGGGATCCAAGTGGAAAGGAAATGAGGCGGTTTTCATCTTGTGAATGAGATTTAAATTTGTCTAAGCTTGAGTTTTATCAGAACTTTCTGTTCATACAAAATTGGTTAAGCATCTTGGGTGCTAAAATTTTTCTGCTTTCAATTATTATCAATCTTTTGGCCAATTTGGCAATAACTGCTTCCATACGGCTTCGGTTTTGGGCTAATTTAGTGGTGGAATATGCAATGGTTACAGCTATGCGACTGCAGTTTATGGCAGCAGAAAGACGACTTCCTGATCAATTTACGGTAAGATCATCTTTTGTCTCTCGCGATTCGATTTTAGCTCATAACTTATGTTAGTCACACCTCCTTATGTTCAGATCCCTACAGTTGCAGCGAGACTTCTCTTGCTAAAAGTTTTTGACTGACAAATAGTCATTGACTACTGGTCTTCCTCCCTAATAAACAAGAACTATAAGACATTCTTTAGGAACGTTTGAATATTTGATAGTCACTGTAGTTGTAAACTGAATATTCGTGTAACGGTGATTCATTAAACTTTGAATAGGATGGAATATTTGTGTAACGGTGATTCATTGTCCTTGTACGAAATATTCCCCCAGATGCTGATGAATTAATTAGTGAGCTTGTGGAGCACTTTTTCTGGTCAATCACCCTGATCATTATCTCACGCATCAGGTCAGGCATCTTCAGTTTCTTGCTCCCTTTCATTTATTGAATCTATGAACATTAAGTGCGAATGCTCATGAGGGGTCGATTTTGCAATTCAGGTGGTTCATAATGCAAATAAGCTGTCATATTTAGTTGAGGAAAAAGAAGCAAAATTGGCTGGATTACTACGAACTAAAGTTTTTTAGAAAGTCGGATCAACGGCCCATGACGAAGGTATTATTACTGCAATATGCAGCCATGCAATGGTTCGTTTAACACACATTAGCATCTAATGCAAATTCTTTTCTTGATATTGCAGTTTGGATTTCTTGGCCTCTTTGAACAAAAAGTTGATGCCATAGATTAAAATGCTGCTGAAATTGAGAGACTACATAAAGAAGTGAGTTCCTTTTTTTTAGCTTTTCTGGTTCTTTTGTTTGTCTAATATGTACATTTGAATAAAATTATACAAGATATGAAGCAAATAAGGTTTTTACTTTCAAGCTCTTCATTTTTTACAATAAGAAATTATCTTAATTAAGGATAGTAATTTTTGCAATCACACAAACGAGGCACATGAGCTGGAACATTGTCATTAGTTGTACTATGCTATTCTATCCACACTGCCTTTGACGAATATTATATGTGAGAAGAAAATTGTGTACCAAACAAAGAAATTTTGTGCTGAAATATGCTTTTGGAATCCAATGAAGTCAATAAGTGCTTCCTCCCTGTACCTGATATGTTTCCTAGTATTGGGTGGGAGGGTCATTAATGGCTTGGGAACATCTCAGTAAGTCAGGGGACGGTAAGTATTGGAAGGGGATGACTGAAAATTAGTGGACATCCCGGAAACAGCAATGCCCTCACTTGTGTTGGTTGTGCACTCCCTTCCCTTAAGAAAGTAGTCAAAGGAGCTGCAAATCGGTTAGTGTAAATCTACTACCGGTGGCTGATTTCACCGAGCTCCTGGATGGGGCTGGATCATTAGCTTTCCAGTCAGCCTTTCCATGGCATGAGTCTCCCTCTCCTTTATAACTCCTTTTTTTTCTCTCTTCCTAACTCTCTCTTTCTCCTCCTTTGCTTAGCTATTCCATATGTTCATCTCAGCATCCCAATTTTTGGCTTATGAATTCCTTTGGCTTATGAATTCATCTCCGTTTGATTCTTGTACCCAATTTTTATCCACTTAGGTTGATTCTCTATTGTGAATTACTCCCAGAAAGCTGAACCAAGGCAGCAGCCCCAAGTAGCATCCAGCAGCAACAAAAGGACAGCAGCCAAGCTGCAGTACCAACACAGACCAGCAAGAAAGGGAGCATGCTGTAGCAGCCTGAGAAACTAGCAGCAGCAGGAAACTAGCGTAGCAGTAGCACCCCACCAGCAGACCCATAATCAATTGCGACACAGTAGGAAGCACCAACAAGGAGCAAAATGCACCAGCCAGTACTGCAAAACAGGCAGCATATAGATATCAGAACCTTTATTTTTTTTATTTTAAGTTTTTTAAAGTGTAATATTACTAGTTATTGTAGAAAATATATGTGTTTTATGTATATTATGATTATATAAAAGTATTTGGTACAATTTAAGTGAAAAAATGCAAAAAAAAAAAAAATTATTTTTTATTTTTTATTTTTATTTTTATTGGGCACTATTTGCATCGGTTCTTGAGAAAAACCGGTGCCAATAGTGTTGATAATAAAAAAAATAAAAATTCGCGCCTTCCGGTGCCAAAGCCTTTAGTTGGCAACGGTTTTGAACCGGTGCCAAATTTTTGAGGATTTGGCATCCCTCAAATCCCCAACGGTTCAAAACCGGTGCCTTAGGGGGAGTTTGAACCGGTGCCAAATTACCTTTTTCGTGAAGTGTAAGGAGGCTGTTTGGATTCGCAAGTTCGTCAGTGAGCTTGGTGTTGTACCCTCCATCAAGGGTCCGATAGATCTTTACTATGACAACAATGGAGCTATCGCTTAGGCTAGAGAGCCAAGAGAGCACCAGAAGGTCAAACATGTCCAAAGGCGATTTCACATGATAAGGGAATGGAAATCCGAAGGTGAAATCATAATTTGTAAGATCAGAATGGATGATAATGTGGCCGATCCTTTGCTAAACCTCTGCCTCAAGTGAAACACAACAAGCACGTTGAGGCAATGGGAATCAAGCACGTTGGAGATTGGCTTTGAAATTCCCTATACATGTGTTTTAATTAAACTGGTTGTTTTAATGTAAGACACTATATTAAAACCATTCATTTATGAAGTAATTAATTTTTCATGAAAAATTACTATTCACTCCATTGCTATTTAATTATGGTTTATAATTAAATAATGAGTCCATTCGATTTATGGAAATATTCAAAACAGGGTATCAAGACCATATCTTGGATAAAGAAACACTTGTTAAGTGAACATTGAATATTTAAATCGAAAATTACCCCTAATCAAGGTCATCTAACTGATGGACGATTGATGACCACCAGAGATTAATGTGTAGTATGATTTACAGCACCATTTCTTGTGCTGCAAGCACATGATGGTCATAAATCATTTGCACAGGTGCCTGTTTGGAACTGCACTGGATTGACCTATGAGAGTACTTTAAGAGATTTAAAACGTCATAAGTACATTTCTCATTATAGCTATCGGAACTTATTTCCTCGACCATGAGTATTGTGAAGTTTTCTTGTTTTAGTACTAGTCTCTTTGATGTTGCCTAACGTCTGCCGTAACTGGGGATCATAACGGGAACAATCGGGAGATTAAGTCCTCTTAGAAAGAGAAACTTACAGTACAAGACTGGGAATGTTCCCCTATTAACATGTCTTTGTTGTTTACAAGGCCGCTCGAAGAGCGAGACTGTGAAAATGCATGGCCGTGCTTAGATGGATTTTAGAAATCATCTGCTTATTGACAGTCAAACTCGGAGATCGAGAAACACTTCTGAACGTAATAAGGATGACGATGAATCTTACCTTATAGTTCATGAAGAGACATTAAGTGACATAGGAAATGGGATATACACTGTATGCACACTTGTCTGGAAGGACAAGTGGGAGATTGAAAGGAATGGTGTCCTTCCAACAAGTGTATTATTCTTTCAGAGGGTTCAAAATTATTTCAGAACTAATTCTTCAATAAGGTCAAGTGATCGGAATGCCTAGGTGGAGGCTGCTTCCGATCAGAATATTAAGGTATAATTAATATTACAGCTTAATCTTAACTAAACACTTCGAGTTAAACCCAATCAAACAACCGATCCGAGACGACGAAATAATTAGAAGGATTCAATGAGTCGTTGGCGTTTTACGAACACAGACGTCGTATATCGAGCCTAGGGAGTCGAGACCGAGCGTCGCAAAATCACAGGCAACAAGTATGAGCATAGCCGTAGCATCACATTGGCCTAGCCATGTGAAGTGATAGGCTAAGCTAGCTCATCGCAAGCCTTGGTGCACCATGTGTGTGCTAGGCGCGCCATATGTGCTTGGCGCACTCGCAAGTGCTACGTGGCTGGTGCTGTCGCAAGGCCCAGCCCAGCTAGCAATGGCGCCCTAGCATCGCCTATCGCCTATCGCCCATCGCACAAGCACAGCACCATCGCAGTACTAGGCACTGGCGTGTGTGGGTGGGTGTGTACCATCGCACAAGAACAGCACCATCGCAGTGCTAGGCACTTGCGTGTGCGTGCGTGCGTATGCCTAGGGCTGTCGCGCCATCGCAGCTCATCGCTAGCACAACACCTAGCATGGAGTGCTTGTACGTGTGGCTGGCGAGGCAAGGCCCAACATGCGTGGCAGTGCGTGCTTGGGCTAGCTGGCTGGCGTGCTAGCTGGCTGCCAGCCCAGCCATTGCTTGAGGCCGGTTAGAGGGAGGTGGGGACCAATGCTTGGAGAAAAGCCTTGGGGAGCAAGGCAATGGTCCCCCATTGTTTTTGGTTCTCACCTAACTCTCTCTCTCCCCTTGACACTTGTTGCATTGTGATTGGTTTGAATAATTATTTAATTTAGAATTAAATAAATTATCACATTTTTCTCATTCTCCCACATTAGTTGGAGAATGAAATCCGAGGGTTCATTTCCTTATAAATACCAAGGCTTTGGTATTTGGGAAAGAACACACTTGAGTGGAGCTATAAAGGCATCTCCATTGTTGAGAATACCTTAAGTTCGTAAAACTCCAAAGTTTATATTTTGTCCGGGTCCCGACTAACCTTCGGGACTTAGGACGATCGGGTCGGGTTCGAGGGTACGAACCGTCGGAGGCCTTGCATTTGCGAGGTTGAAGTAAGAGCTCTTTTAGCGAGCGAAGCACGCATTTAGGGTATAATTCTTAATCCCTCTTTCTTTTAATTATGTATTAATTATATTTGCATGCTTTAATTGCTTTAGTTATCGGGGCGGGTCTTGGGGGGTTTCATTCCGCGTAGTGAGGGTCACTACGATACCCTACAAGAGTCTCAATGGCAACTATGATGGACTCGTGTTTGATGTTACTAGATCACTCTCAAACATGAAGATAAAGAAACCGGAAGAGGGTTTCCTTGCTAAAGAGTGATACCGGCTTTGGTCAAAGGTCTACAATACCAAATTGAGACCCAGTATGCCCCTCTAACCTCATGTGCTTAGAATGACTAGGCTCTTCAAGCATGTGGAGCTTCTCAAAACCCCGTTGGAGGATGAGATGGCGGGTCATATCTTGCTTGCCTCACTCCACTCGGGCTATGATGCACTTAGGATGCATATAGCTGCGGGAAAGGAGTCACACTCTTTAAGAGATGTGGTGCAGCTACTTCGCCAAGCTAACTCCTATGGAGCAACCAAAAGGCCTTTGAGAGCAAAGAAGAAGGAGTTCAAGAACAAAGCGAAGATGCGATGCTTCTATTGTGGTGGGCAAGGCCACTACAACAGGGAATGCAAGATATTCCAAAGAGATGAGGAGGAGAGGCATGTTTCATCTACTTCAGGTATCTTCATTAACACTTGTGTATACAGCTATTCATAGGTGTTCGATACCATGTTTAACTCACTTTATGCTCTCATTTTCAGGGACCAAGTGAGAAGGTTTCACAAGTGGATGTGCACCTACGAGCGGACGATGAAGATGGTCTTTATGTCGTGCTTGTAGGCACATCATTTGTCTTTGGCTTGTAATGAGCTAATTCTTGTTTATCATGGTTACTATTGAACATATTTTGATCTATGGCGTTGGACGCCAATTATTTGATCACAAGACTATGATAATGGTTGTTTTTGAATGTCTTGCTTATATGTTCGATAAGATTACACATTTTATAAGTGACTAGACAAATGTTAATGATACCACCAAAAGAGCTAAGATCAATTGAGTCGAATCAAACCTACTTGTGATATTGTCGTCTTGGCCATATTAACATCAAACGCATCAAGATACTTCTTCATGAAGGTATTCTTGACTCATTCGACTTAGAGACGCTTGAAAATTGCAAAGGATGTTTATTACGCAAAATGATCAAGCAACCATTTTCCAAGTTGGGAGAAAGGGCTAGTGACTTATTGGGTCTTATACACACAGATGTATATGGACCAATGAGTACACCTGCAAGGAATGATTATCGTTATTTCATCACTTTCACAGAGGTCTATAATAGATATGGATGTGTCTACCTTATGTTGCAAAAATTTGAATCATTTTAGAAATTCAAAGAGTTTTAGAGTGTAGTGGAAACTCAGCTTGGCAATAAAATAAAAGCACTTCGATCGGATCAAGGTAGCAAGTATTTAAGCCATGAATTCGACGATCATATGAAAGAACATGGTATTCTCTTTGAGTTGACACCTCCCGGAACTCCACAATGGAACATAGTGTCTAAGAGGAGGAATCGAACCTTGTTAGACATGGTCCGATCAATGATCGGTTTTAGCGATCTTCCTATCTCTTTCTAGGGACACGCACTTCTAACCACGAAACTAACTCTGAATCGAGCTCCGTCAAAAGCTGTTGAAAAGACTCCATATGAATTATGGACGAAGAAACCTCCATGGTTATCTTTTCTTAAGATTTTGGGTTGCGGAACATATGTCAGGAAATTTATTTTCGACAAACTTCACCCAAAATCAGACAAGTGTTTCTTTGTGGGATACCCTAAAGAAACTAAGGGTATTAATTCTATAAAAAATTCGAGAACGAAGTATTTGTTACTCGTGATGGTGTCTTTTTGGAGAAGGAGCACCTTTCCAAAATGACAAGTGGGAGGAAAATCGAACTCGATGAAGTTCGAGAGGACGAGCAACAAAGTCAACCCGACAAAACTGATAATCAAAGTGCTTTAGAAGCAGCTGTTCACATTGGTCAGACTTAAACTAACAATGTGCAAAGTCAAACCGACAATGCAAATGCTTAACCTATTACCCTACGTAGGTCGCAAAGGCCAAGATCTCAACCAGACAGATACTTCGGTGTTGTCTTAAGCGAAGATCAAGACATCCTAATTATGGATGGAGATGAGCCAGCGACGTACAAAAAAGCTATGATGAGCCTTGACTCTGCAA